CATGCTCCAGCCTAGAGAGGTCCTGAGACCCCGCCCCGCCCTAAGGCCCCGCCCCGCCCTGAGGCCCCGCCCCACACATTCTACAAACCTGCCCAGGCTCCACACAGCTGCTTTTTTTTTTTTTTAATTAAATATATTTTATTGATTTTTTTTACAGAGAGGAAGGGAGATGGATAGAGAGCTAGAAACATCGATGAGAGAGAAACATCGACCAGCTGCCTCTTGCACACCCCCTTCTGGGGATGTGCCCGCAACCAATTTACATGCCCTTGACTGGCGAACCCGGACCTTTCAGTCCACAGACCGACGCTCTATCCACTGAGCCAAACCAGTTTCGGCCACACAGCTGCTTTTGCATAAGCAGCGGAAATGCCAAGAAAAGGAAGGAGATCTCAAACAAAAGAAATGGAGGAGAACAAACAAAAGACTGGATATAGAGTTCAAAACCACGATTATAAGGTTCTTCAAGAATTTCCTAGAAAAGGCTGATAAACTTAACAAGACCCTCGAGGATATGAAAAAGAAATTTTTTAAACTAACTAGAAATTAAACATGCACTGACTGAAATAAAAAATATTACACAGAGACCCAACAGCAGACTAGAGGAACGCAAGAATCAAGACAAAGATTTGGAACATAAAGAGACAAAGGACATTCTTCTGGAGAAGCAAGAAGAGAAGAGAATCCAGAAAGTTGAAGATAGTGCAAGAAGCCTCTGGGGCAACTTCAAGCAAACCAACATCAAAATTATAGAGTGCCAGAAGAAGAGAGAGAGCAAGACACTGAAAACCTATTTGAAGAAATAATGACCAAAAACTTCCCCCACCTGGTGAAAGAAATAGACTTACAAGTACAGGAATCACACAGAACCCCAAACAAAAGGAATCCAAAGAGGACCACACCAAGACACATCATAATTAAAATGCCAAGAGCAAAAGACAAAGAGAGAATCTTACAAGCAGCAAGAGAAAAACAGTTACCTACAAAGGAGCACCCATATAATTATCAGCTGATTTCTCAACAGAAACTAAGCAGGCCAGACGGGAGTGGCAAGAAATATTCAAAGTGACAAATAGCAAGAACCTACAACCAAGATTACTCTACCCAGCAAAGTTATCATTCAGAATTGAAGGGCAGATAAAAAGCTTCACAGATCAAAAAAAGCTAAAGGAGTACATCACCACCAAACCAGTGTTATTTAAAATGCTAAAAGGTATTCTTTAAAAAGAGGAAAAAGAAGAAAAAAGTAAAGATAAAAATTATGAACAACAAATACATATCTATCAATAAGTGAATCTAAAAGTCAAGTGAATTAAAAATCTGAGGAATGGAATAAACAGGTGAATATAATAGAATCAGGGGCATAGAATGGGAGGGGATTGATAATTCTCAGGGGGAAAGGGGTGTCTGTGTGGGGGGTACGGAAAGAGACTGGACAAAAATCATACCTCTGGATGAGGACGGGGGGGGGGTGGAGGAGGAGGAGGTAAGGGCAGAGGGTGGAGTGGGGATCAGGTGGGAGGGAGCTATGAGTGGGGGGAAAGGAGAATCAATTATAATAATATGAACAATAAATATTTATTTTTTTAAAAAAGAGGAAGATTAGCCAGTCAGAGAAAGATAAATATCACATGATCTCACTCTTTGTGGAATATAATGAACAACATAAACTGATGAACAAAAACAGAACCAGAGACATAGAAGCATGGAATAGATTATCCAATCTATGAGGGAAGGCAGGGGAGGGGGAGGATAAGAGGTCAACCAAAGGGCTTGTATGCATGCATATTAGCATAACCAATGGGCACAGATAGGGGAGAGATGAGGGTTGGGTGGGGGGGTGACCTGGGAGAAGTCAACGGGCAAAAATGGAGACTTATGTAATACTTTAAACAATAAAGAACTTAAAAAAAAAAAAGTAATTCCTAGAGGAAATGGACTCAGGAAACCAGTTGTAGAGCTAAAGGAAGGGCCCTTGGAGCATGGGAGTGAAGGGGCCCATGGCCACGGGCCTGGGCGGGGGGGGGGGGGGGGGGGGGGGGGGGGGGGGGGGGGGGGGGGGAGGGGAGGAGGAGGGGCAGGCACAGAAAGGCGCCTGTGTGCTCCTGAGGCGAGACCTCTGCCCGTTTTTAAATTGGGTAGTTTGTTTTTCTGGTGTTGAGTTGTATGCGTTCTTCATAAATTTTGAATATTAACCCTTTAACAGATGTATCATTGGTGAATTATCTCCTATTAAGTGGATTGTCTTTTCATTTTATTGGTGGCTTCCTTTGCTATGCATTTTTTTGTTTCCCTTGCCCAAGGAGATGCATCAGAAAAAAATATTACTAAGAGAGATAGATGGCCGAAGCCGGTTTGGCTCAGTGGTAGAGCATCGGCCTGTGGACTGAAAGGTCCCAGGTTCGATTCCGGTCAAGGGCATGTACCTTGGTAGCGGGCACATCCCGGTAGGAGGTGTGCAAGTGGCAGCTGGTCGATGTTTCTCTCTCATCTACGTTTCTAGCTCTCTCTCTCTCTCTCTCTTGCTCTCTGTAAAAAATCAATAATATATATATATATATATATATATATATATATATATATATATATTTTTTTTTTTTTTTAAAGAGAGAGATAGATGTCTGAGAGTTTACTGCCTCTTTTCCTTAGGGGTTTTACGGTTTGAAGTCTTACATCTAAGTTTTCACTCCATTTTGAGTGTATTCTGGTATACCATGTAACAAAGTGGTGGAGCTTCTGTTTGTATCTGTCCAATTTTCCAGATTGATGTTGGTGGAATCTTTAGGGTTCTTTAGGTACAGAACAGACTTTAAATTCCAGTTAACTCCACAGACTCTAAGCCCCTTTGACCCCTTGCTCCATACGTTGTCATGCAAATTAAACACGGGAATATTGAGCAGATAAAACACTCGCTAAATGCAAGTATTCTTCATTTTCTAATTATCTCATGAGTGTCTTCTAGGTGCCAGACATTGTGCTAAGAAGACTAAATGGACTGGATCCTGCCCCAAGAGGCACCCTGGGCAGTGGAGGACACAAACTAGAGCCTGAGAGTGACGTGTGCAGGTAGGAAAAGGGCATGGAAGCCTAGTGGGAAGCTGGCAGAAGAGTTTCTTTGGAGTCACCTATGGTGTCAGTCGGCACCTACCTGAGAAGAGTCTTAAAAGAATGGGGATGTGGCCAGGAAAAGAGGGCACAACGCAAGTGCAGACAGAGGTGAACTATCCAGGGGTGTGCAAGGACTCAGATGCTAAATTTGCCTTGGCATGGAGAGTTCAGAGGGGAGACCTCAACCAAAGGCTTGGCCTGTGGCAGCACCGATAACTTTGTCTAGGGAAGGTTTATGGCCTCTCTGGAATGGGAATAGTCTTATTTTCCTTATTATTTAAGCAAGGCAGGCAGGAGGGCAGGAGCTTAATCTTAGAGTGCCATTCATTCATTAATTCAACAAACATTTTTTTTGAGCATCTACTATGTGCCAGTCAGGAGTTGGGCATAAAGCAGTGAATGGGCAAAATTCCCTGCTTGCAGAGTGCTTACTTTCCGGTGGTGAAGACAGACAAAAACAAGATAAATAAAATTATAGTAAACGAGATGGTGATAAGTGCTAAGCAGAAAAAATACAGCAGAGAAAGAGGTTAAGAGGTACTGTGTGTGTGTGTGTGTGTGTGTGTGTGTGTGTGTGTGTTCAGTCTTAAATAATGTGGTTAGGGAAGGCCCTAAAAGGAGGCATTTGACAAAGACATGATTTAGGTGAAGAGTGAGCCATGTGTATGTCAGAGGGAAGAGGATCCTTCAATGCAGAAGGAACAGCAAATGCAGAGGGCCATGCGACAGTGGGCGGTGGGTTTAAGGCATATCACTGTGACGGGAGGGAAATGATAGGGGGAGGAGGGTGGGAGGGGATAAGGTTTGAGTAGTAGAGGGTGTATGTGTAGGGGGGACTAAGGGTGTAGGATCTTGAAAACTACTAAGACTTTGACTTTAAAAAATATATATATATTTCAGAGGGAAAGGGGGAGAGAGAAACATCAATGAAAAGAGCACCGATTCACCAACCAGCTGCCTCCTGCACAGGGGACAAGCCCACATCCTGGGCATGTGCCCTTGACTGGGATCAAACCCGGGGTGGGGGTGAAGCATCTTATATAAAAACTGCTGTTTGAAATTTTAACCCTGCTTTTTTGGCTCCTGTAAATGCTTGACTGATTAAATAATAAGGAAAATAAGACTACTCCCATTCCAGAGAGGCCATAAACCTTCCCCAGATGAAGTTATCAGTGCTGGCACCAGGCCAACCCTCAAAGCCCCAGTGCATAGGGCTCTTTAAGAGTGTGCAAAGGGAAACAAAAACACCCTTACTTGAGCTAGAAAAAGTATAAACAGCGTAGCTTCCTCCATGTTTTTTTGCCCAGAATTTGAAAGGCATTTTTCTCTGGGCCTGTACGTAATAATAATAATAATAAAGTGTGACTCCATTTTTCCAAGTGCTGCTTGGTTTTTCTGCAACGGAGGTAGGGGGGAGGGGGGCCTTTTAGTCCACAGACGGACTCTGTCCACTGAGCCAAACCAATAAGGGCAAGACTCTACTTCTACTCTGAGCGAAATGGAGAGCCACTGGGGAGTTTCCAACGAGGCAGACGCGGTCTGCCTTTCATTTTAACAGGATGACACTGCCTCCTGGCGGAGGATCAGAGTAAAAGCAGGGGGTGTGGCGCAGGGAAAAAGGGAAGCAGGAGCTCAGTAAAGGAGCTTCCGCAACAATCCAGACAGATGTGGCCGCTTGGAGAAAGCTGGCAGGCGTGAAGGGAAGGAGAAGCAGGATTGTTTATTATTATTTGTTTTATCGTGGAAAATTAAAATAAAGTAAAATTTAAAAAGCCCTGGCCGGTGTGGATCAGTCGGTTGGGCATCGGCTGCCGGTTCCCTTCCCGGTGGGGGACGGCGCTGCAGTTACCCTGGCAACGGCGCGCGTCTCACCAGCGGAAGCAGTGAGTGGAGACAGAGGCGGGGCTTCCGGCGGAAGCGGGCTCTGCCGCTGCAAGCTCGGGAGGATGCTGCGCGCTGGGTGGTGGTGGCGGTGCCTCGGCCTGTGTGGCCTCCTCGCGGGGCGGGCGGAGGCCCCGAGCCCGGGGGAGCCGCTGGAGCAGAGCCGGCCGTACGCGGTGCTGCGCGGGCAGAACCTGGGTGAGCGGCGCGGGCGGGCCGGCGGCGGGATCGGGCTCCGCTTCCGCCTCTGGGGCGCCGGGAGCCGGGCCCGGCGGGGCGGACGGCGGGGACGGACGCGGGTTAGGGGTGCGGGTGCGACCTCGCCGCGGCCGGGGAAAGGGCCTGAGCTGTGCAGCTCGGCGCCAGCCTGGTGCACAGGCCCTCGGCATGGCGAGTCCGGGGTCCTGGGTCTCCATCCGGGTCCCCTCCTCCTCCCGGGCCGGGTGCGCCAGGCTAGGCAGCAAGGAGTGTGATAGGGTGCACCCCGCTCCCGCTTCTTTCCTCACGGGAACCACGGTCACAGCGGTGGCCGGCCCATTTCCGGGGTGCCGTGTGTTGTGCTCAGCACTTCGTACACGTGATTTCATTCCGGCCTCACTGAAACGAAGCGGTAGTTTTCAGCATATTTTACAGATAAGAAAAAAGGAAGCTCAGGAAGATTTGCCCAAGGTCACACAGCTGGAAAGTGGTGGCGGCCGGGATAGAACCGCGGCTTTGTGTGAGAGCATCTCTTCCTCAAATACATCGTCCAGGGGCCTCGGCTACGGAGGGGCCGACTCTCGAGCTTCAGAATAACTTCCTCTTGTTTGGTCAAAGCCCTTCCTTCCCGCTGTGCCTCACTTTACATCTGGACATCAACAGAGCTGCCACATAGTATCATTTCTGGATTATCTTTACATGAACTCATTGGCATGTATTTTTAAATATATATATTTTAATAATTCAAGAGGGCCAGAGCTAGAAAGGCCATGGAGCATCTGGCAGTCTCTGTCCTTCATTTAAACTTTAAGGAAACCGAGGCCCAGAGAGGGTGAGAGATGTCCCAAGGTCACACAGGAAGCTGGTGTCATCCCCCACCCCCGCCCCGGATTCTGCTTTCCAGCCCAGTGACCTAGTGCTCCCTCCGGGGAGGCCGCCTCCAGGAAGGAGTTAGAAGCCTCAGGCCCCATCTCTTCTTTGTACCCATCCCCAGCATCTGAAGCTTGAGGTTATGTGACTTGTTTCTTTTAATATTTTTATTGATTTCAGAGAGGAAGGGAGAGGGATCTAGAAACATCAGTGAGAGAGAGCTATTGATTGGCTGCCTCCTGCGCTCCCCCTATTGGGGATTGAGTCTGAAACCTGGGCATGTGCCCTGGACCAGAATTGAACCTGGGTCCAGGTTCAGTCCACAGCTCTATCCACTGAGCCAAACCATTAGGGTTCATTGTCATGTATTTCCCATGTACTGTGTTGTGTGCCTAGCTAGCTAGTGCTGTGCTCCGTGGTTTCCACACATGATCCTGCTTTATGCTTTAGATTAGGGGTGTCGAACTCAATCAGAGAAGGGGCCAAAATCTAAAATCCAGCCTAAATCGCGGGCCGAATGGTTTACTGAACAGTCATAAACTGTCATTGTGATGGAAACGCAGCGGAGTGCAGTGATGACAGCGCGGTGCGGGCCACATTGCAAGGCCTGGCGGGACGGATTTGGCCCGCGGGCCTTGTGTTTGACACATGTGCTTTAGATCCATCACGCTGATGGGATCATTCATTGTCAGGAGGGAGGCGTGGAGACATGCTGCCCTGCACACCGTGAGATGTTTAGCGGCCTCCCCGGCCTTTACCCACTAGATCCCAGCCCACACAATCAATCAGAATATCTCCAGACATACTTTCCAACACCAACGTACATGCCCTTGTTAAAAGTAACAGCATTTTTTGCTGAAACCGGTTTGGCTCAGTGGTAGAGCGTCAGTCTGCGGACTGAAAGGTCCCAGGTTCGATTCCTGTCAAGGGCACGGTTGCGGGCACATCCCCGGTGGGGGGTGTGCAAGAGGCAGCTGGTCGATGTTTCTCTCTCATCGAGGTTTCTAGCTCTCTCTCTCCCTTCCTCTCTGTAAAAAATCAATAAAATAAAAAAAGGAACAGCATTTTGAACACCTCCCACAATTCTGAGAGTCACACAGTTGGGAGTGCCTGTGACTTCTGACAGGTTGCTGGTTACATTGATTTAAAGTAGGGGTGTCGAACTCAATCAGAGAAGGGGCCAAAATCTAAAATCCAGCCTAAATCGCGGGCCGAATGGTTTACTGAACAGTCATAAACTGTCATTGTGATGGAAACGCAGTGGAGTGCAGTGATGACAGCGCGGTGCGGGCCACATTGCAAGACCTGGCGGGACGGATTTGGCCCTCGGGCCTTGTGTTTGACACATGTGATTTAAAGCCAGGCCTTCTGCCTAGTCCTGTACCACAGATCAACCTGAGTTACCAACTGCAGGTCCCAATTCTTACCTGAGCACATTGTAAATTTTAGTTGGGAAGTTTCCTTTCAAAAACAGAGTAGGTTTGTGAAGTTAGTAAATTGCTTCTTTGATCAGAAAGGCCCTTCTCAAAACTCACATAGACTGAAATACTTTATTGAATTTCTAGTTTTTATAAATGGCTTCAACAACATAGTTGGGCTCCCTGCTTTTATTCAGATCGTTATTCATTGCCTACAACCCTTTCTTTAAACTCAGAATAAAATCCATGTTTCCTTAAACATGCAATGGCTTCAGTCTTCCTCTCCAGCTCCATTTCCTGCCTTCCTCCCTTCACTGTTCCCACCTCTGCCACGATGGCCTGTTCATTCATTTGCTTTTTGGCTTGCTCCGGCCTCAGCGGCCTTCATTTGCTGATCATGGGGCCGACAGTGCTCTCCCTGCAAATCTTCATACGGCCAGAACCTTCCTTTCATTAAAGTCTCAGCTTATGTGTCCCCACTCAGATGTCTCCGCGCCCCCCCCCCCCCTCCCCCCAACTGTCACAGTAGTTTCCTCACTGCAGCCCTTCAGGCTGTGAACGCTCTTGTTTACATTCTCCCCAACACTTGGAGACTTCCGGAGAGAGGGTCTGTTCAAGGCCGTCGTGTGTGTGTGTGTGTGTGTGTGTGTGTGTGTGTGTGTGTGTCCCCTGCACAGCGCCCGGTACTGAGTGGCATTCGGTCCGTCGCCGCCGGTGAATGAGGACTTGCGGAACCAGGGCCGCCATGAGGAGGTAACTTGTGTTCCTTTTGCAGTGCTGATGGGAACCGTTTTCAGCATCCTGCTGGTGACCATGATCCTTATGGCATTTTGTGTCTACAAACCCATTCGGCGTCGCTGACAGCCGAGCAAGCCGTCCCGGAGTGCGGGAACAGAATAAGTTGTGTTGCACACGGGTCAGTGGAGAAGTTGGAATCCGAACTTTCATGCTTGGAAATGACCTCTGGTCAGGACAATTGGTAAATGCTGACTTAGAACATCTAGCAGATTTTCTGTAACACTGTAATGCAAATAATTGGCCACTGAGTCTACTTCTAGTATTTTCTTTCATATGTGGCTACACTTGTCAAAAGTCAGACCTAAAGCTCAGCGTAAAGTTCTGTGTAAAAATGGAGTGCTCCTGAGAAAGGAACACGGTAACCTTGTGAGTGATTGGGAAGGACTAATCGTTAATGTCTGAAAAGAGTAAGACGACTTAGACATTCAGCACTTAAGAACCACTTGTGACTATAGGTTAAGAATCACCAATGTTTGTAATTAGGGTTGGCCTAGAGTACTCTGGTTGCAAGCAGTGTCCTCTGTGGGGAGCTTGGGCTGTCATGCCTCATGCAGCATCAGCTCTGCCCCCACTGAAGTCAGGGTCATATCAGGTAGGCTCTCTCATGTGTCCCCTTGGCTGGCAGGCGCTGGGGTTGGACTGGAAGCTTCTCGGTGACCCGTCTGAAAAAGAACTTCCTGCCAACGTGCGGACCTCCCTGGTCTGCACTTCAGCCTTCCCAGCCCGCGGCCCGAAGCATGTGGCAGCTTTTCAGATTTGGAAGCTAAGGGACTCTTCGGCCCCGGGTGGGAAGGACTCCCTTCCTGTACTAGGCAGAGTGGGAGTGGGTATGTTTACAAATTTTATTTCAGCTTTGGAAATGCTGCTGCTGGTTTGCACTGTTGGTGAACTGGATCTCCCCCTATTGCAGTGATACTTTTGTACTTACAACGTGGCCATCGGTATTTATTTTACTTTAAAGGTGCTAAGTTTAATTACGTTGTTAAACTGAAATGCATATCTTGTGCTCCTAATTTTTTTTTTTAAACTCGCACTTAATGTGAAATAACTGATGTGGGATCCTGTAACTCTTTGACGTATTTTGTTTGTAACCTTCAAATGTTAACTGTTCTGTGCTTTTCAGCAAATGTCAATTAAAATTAAAGTAAAATCTTACATCCTGTTTTACTCCTAGTTATGTTCCAAGCATTTAAAATGCAGGTACGTTTGAATCAAATCTCTTAAGGAAGCACTGTGAAGTGGATTTTTAAATTCATGTGAAATAATACTGTTTCCCCAAGGCAAGGCATCATTTCTGAAAACTGAGCCAGGATTAATCCCTCAGGCTGGCCAGAGTCTGGAGACCTGGACTCTTGTCCCAGCTCCAGGCACAAACAGCCTGAACTTCCTCAGAGCCTGTTTCTCTTCTTTGAAATGGTGACATACACTTGTTCTTAAATATTGTATAGATGAAATGATTTGAAAGCTAACTCAAATGAAGGTGGGATTACTAGTTAGCCTGTCCTGTAGAAATCTGTTACTGGCTGGAAGGTGTGGGTGGGATGCCAAGACTGGCATTGACAAGGTTAAATTCCACCTCATCTGCAACACATTTTGATATGCTGCCAAAAAACTTATTGCCACTTTTAGGATTTTATTTTTTGTTAATCCTCACCCAAGAATATTTTTCCATTGATTTTTAGGGAGAGGAGGAGAGAAAGGGAAACATCGATGTGAGAGAAACACATCAATTGGCTGCCTCCTACATGAGCCCAGACCAGGGCCCAGGCCGGGAGGAGCCTGCAACCAAGGTACATGCCCTTGACCTGGAATCAAACCGGGGACCCTTTGGTCCACAGGCCAACACTCCATCTTCTGAGCCAAACTGGCTAGGGCCACTTTTAAAAGGAAACAGTAAGAACTTGCCAGCCTGCAGTCTGTTCAGTAATCACCAGGCAGGTAGTAGGGCCGTGTTCATTTTCTGAAAAAACATGGCAGTAGTTCACATACAATCCAAAACCCAGCCTCTACCCTCATTCCATGTTCCATCCATGCAGGATGACTTCAAGCTAAAGGAAGAAAATCATTTTTGTAGAAGAGGCTTATTACAGAGAGACTTCAGGTCTGGGGGAGGGAGGGAATTATAGTGAAAAGCTTTTGAGAGCAGAGGCTGACCAGCTAGTACCTTCAGGTAGTTTCTTTTCCTGACCATTTTAGGGAGCACGGAGGAGCTAGACCTCACAAAGTGAACTGTACTCAGAATACCCGAGTACCCAAATGCACACACATAACTACACCAGTCATAAAAATGAGTTACTTTAGCCAACACTGATCTTAAAGCTGAGATGAAGACGTGCCAGTGCTGCTGGAGGTGAGGGGTTCCGGTCTTAGGAGGTCTTTCCAGCTGGCTGTTTTAGATCACACATGGGCCTGTCGGGTTTTGAACTCCATCACTTACTGAGCTGCAGGCATTTGAAGTTGCCATAGTTCAGCTTGCCTTTGATGTCAGCTGTGTCCAGCAGGAAACTGTTGGTTTTTAAATTAAATAATCCACAGGTATTGTGTTTCTACCAGAACAGTTTTCTCCCTAGCGCTCCACCTGGCTATTTACTTCCCCAAAAGCAAAGCCGCACTTTCATTTTTCCAGGGCCTTGTTTCAGAAACCATCTTTTACTAGTCATTGCCTCGTTTTAATACCAACATACTTGGTGTAGGATAAGTCCTAAAGCCCTAATTATCAACTGAACTGCTAAGAGCAGCCTCAAAATGCACGGCTTCAACCTGGCAGGTGCGGCTGTTGGAATGCCCTACCCTACACCGAAAGGTGGGTTCGATTCTGGGTTAGGGCAAATACCCAGGTCTCAGCTTCGACCTCCATTTGGGGCGTGTATGGTAGAGGGCCCAACGACTTCTCTCTTTAAAGCAGTGTTTCCCGAAGTGGGGTACGTACCCCCAGGGGCACGGGAAGAGTTTGGTGGGGATATGCACTGCGCCTAATTCTACGTTCTCATGCGTACAAGGGGTACTCAGCGTTACGAAAATTATAGAAGGGGTACACATATGTCAAAAGTTTGGGAAACACTGCTCTAAAGCAATGAAAAGCACAAAGACAGCCAAAACCGGTTTGGCTCAGTGGATAGAGCGTCGGCCTGTGGACTGAAAGGTCCTGGGTTCGATTCCGGTCAAGGGCATGTACCTTGCTTGCGGGCACATCCCTAATAGGGGGTGTGCAAGAGGCAGCTGATAGATGATTTTCTCTCATCGATGTTTCTAACTCTCCATCTCTCTTCCTCTCTGTAAAAAACCAATAAAGTATATTAAAAAAACAAACAAACAAAAAGACAAAAAGCTCTTCATCTTCAAAGGCTGCTTAATTCACCGTAGAGAGCAGATGCTGGGTTGGTTTTCCTTCCTCCACCAGAGCCAGCCCAGCTCCAGCTGCGGAAGCCGGAGAGCAGCCCACACTGGCTTGCTTCTCGTTTCCATTGGAGACCAGGAGCACTGGGCATGTGGACTAGGATTGGTCAGGAAGGCAGGAGGAGCATGTCACCTTGTAATATACAACTGAGCATGGGGCGGGCGGGCGGGCAGGCATCCTGACGTTCCAGTTTCACACAAAACGAAGTGCGGGTTCATTCAGTGACTAAGAACCTGAGGAGAGGGACTCCCAGGCTGTTTGGATGCTGTATGAGCACTGCTAAGGAAGCGGTCTTTGCATTTTAAGAGCGTGAACACAAATGAAAGACACTGCAGGCAGGTTGACAAAAAGCTCAGTCCCTTTTTAATTGACTTCCTGGGATAAAGTCAGAGACACGGGGAAGCAGGACAATGGAATGCAAACATAAGAGATTACTTATGGTTCACCTCAGTGAGTAAACTGTTGCCTAACTGCAGCCGTTCCCAAGCTGTGTCCTCACTCAAGGCAAACATTCGGTAAACAAAATGCCACGGTATGCACTTGGAACAAAGGTGCTGCTGCATATACTGGCCTGGTGTGCAGGGAAGGAATTTTGGTCAGACCATGACAAGACAGACAGGTGGTTATACTGAATCAGAAGCACATTTCTTTGTGGCTAGGAACATTTTACTGGCAATGCTAACTGTATTACAGACTCTAACTGGAACGTAATTCTTGTTTCTCTTCCCATCCCAAAAGAAGCCCAGCACACAGGAAACTGATGTCAAACAGGAGGATATTATCGACCAGGTCATTTCAGTGCAGCTGTGAGCATGAGTACACAGAGCAGGCCAGAGTGAGTGTACCTTCTGCTGTATATTCTGTGATGGCTATTTACAGAAGGGTTAGACAAAATAGTTAACTACTAAAGGTATCCAAAAAAGGCCTGAGAAAATCTGGTTAAAATGTATAACCTTGTATTGCTACTGATGGGAATAGTTTTTATATCTTTTAAAAATAATAAAAAGATTCTGTTAAAAAATATATTTATCGAGAAAGATGTTGATTTGAACTCTAAAAAGCAATGTGGAATCATCACTTTCCCTTCTGAATACAAAGCCACTGGGTTCCACCTGTAGCCCCCTGTCTAACTCCACCCCTTCTCCTCCAGCGAGCCGAGGACTGCAGGGGCGGGTCTTCTCGGGCCTCCTCGTGGAATCCTGCACGAGGGAGTGTGGCACACGCACGTGCGTTTTGGTTCTGTGCTGTCTGCTGTTTGGCCAGCCTGCCCACTGCAAGAACAAAGCTCATTCCAGCTGCTCCTTCAGGGCCAGGATTAGCTGCCTTGGATTTAGCCTGGAGGACCCTATTCTCAAAGGAACTGCCTTTACAAGTTCAAATCAGATCCCTCAATGAATGAAGTGAGGTGGTCTGAAATTATTAGTAATTCTTAAGGCTAAGGCAACATCCATGGTAGTATATCTTAATTTGATGCAAATAGTTAAGCCTAATCTAAAATAGATCCTGTACACATCTCCTCTTTACCTGTAGCTAGGGATGGAAAGAATGGAATGAGGTGGAGATGGAGGAGGAACAGTGATGGTGGCCTAGAAACCCTGTATAAAGGTAAAAATAAAAGAGTAGATCGGCACAGATTATCCATTTCTTTGGTGAACTGTAAAGTATCATAAATTTTCATAAACCACACTCTACAAAGGCTGCTGCTCTCATATATAAAAGCACCCTGACTGCAATAACTTGTTTTGTTATCACTCCTTGGTAAAAATGAACCTACAGGTCTGCGGGGGTTGGGTTTGTCTAAAGCTGGTAGTAAAAATGTGACCTGCAAGCCAACACAGCTAATGGAAAGTGACGATGCTCTCCTGCCGTTGGTCTGGAGATGTGGCCTGCCAGTCCCCAGCCCTTCACCGGGGAGTGTTTGGGTGGGCCTGGGGTCCCTGGTCCTGCACCTCTGCGTAAAGAAGGGGCGGCTGCCGTCCGCTGTGCACATGCGAGGTGCAGCCAGTTCCTCAGCCCCAGGCCCGGGTAACGTAGCACCTGCCTGCAGCCCAGAGCGCTGCCTGGCGCAGCCGTGGGCAGAGGTCTATTGCTCGGTGAGGGACAGCTGTAAGACCTGCTGGAGCTCCGCCTCCTCCTCCCGGAGCCGCAGCTCCTGCTCCTCCAGCTCTTTGGCAGAGAGCTCCATGGCCAGCTGCAGATCACTATCAAAATGGCTTGTCTCATTCGAGGCACCAGAGAACAGGCCTTCCGAGTTGGTGAGGAGGCTCTCTTGGATGGCCCTGGGTTGGAAAAAGAGGGGGGAAAGAAACAGGGATTATCATCATCATCATGGCAATGGTAGCAACTACATTCTTAACTGTTCACCAAGTGCACACTATGTGCGTGCATAATGCCATTCGGTCCCCCATGACTCTGGGAGCACAGAGGCTGTATCCAGGTGAGAAGTCTGAGGCTCAGGGAGGTTAAGACACCTGTTAAGGATCACCCAACTACTAAGTGAAGGGGCTAGGAATTAAATTTGGATCTACTTGAAGCAAACCCCAAGTTTTTCATATGCCCAAAGTTTAGGGAAATGCTTTGTAAAAGGAATCTTTCTGGTTTCCTCCATCTATATGTATAAAGAGCCAGAGTCCGTAACGTCCAAAACAACCGAAGGCTCCACCGAACACCAGAAGTCAAGTCCTACAGTCAGTGCAAGGTTGCTGTGGTGACCCAGCACTGACTGCTGAGGGGGCTGTGGATCAGACCCGGAGAGAGA